ACAATCCCTGCCAGACCTGAGACTCAAACCTGCATCCTTTGGGTTACAAGTCCAACTCTCTAACCATTAGGCCACAACTGCTCTCTTTGGAGAGTGATTTGCTGGGAGGGTGGGATCTTGTGCTTTCAAAACTGCCCACCCTGCCTTTAAACAGTACATTTATTAAGTTTGACTTTGATTTTGTTGCTTCATAAATTTACTAGATGTGGAAAACTTGTTCACTAATGCTGCTTATGTTTGCACATGATTTAACTGAAGATTAATGAATGATTAATGTCAACAATGTCAGTCAGTAACTTCACCACTGTGAGATGTGCTGATCAGTGTGGTTTAGATCATTTATATACTAGTATAGTTTTAGATTAGATTTTATTTTTATATTTTCTATCTTTAATTTTAGTTACATTTTTATTTTGTTTTACACTAAAAACACTGTTGATGATTTTTTTCTCTGTCATAATTCTTGTTTTCTGTCAGGTATCTGGTACTGTTATAATGAGTACATGTCTCTGACGACCTCTACCCTGACCTTCAATAACGTGGGTTTCACCACTAATGTGCAGGTCTATCTGCAGGTGCGAGACACCTGGCTGGCCTTCTGTGAGTCTCTGCACTTTGTGTTTTTTATCATTGCTGGTACTTTTGTGTTTCAATGGAATTCTAGAACCATATCAGTTCAGTTCAGTTGCTCTTTTAAATTCAATCTGCTTCATGTGCGTGACAAAACATTTAACCTGTGTACAATGAGAAATGAAGAAATGAATCAAAATAAAATGGGACAAACGGAGTAAACAAATAACATTTAATTTAATGTACTATTTCATTTCATTTACATTCATTTGATCATAATCAAGATTTTTTTTTACTCTTAGTCCTCATACTCAAATTCCATAATAATTTTATATATTAACTAAAAAAAGGTGTAGACTGAAGCCTTATTTATTTTGAAGGCTTATTTTTTTACTCACCCTTTGTTTCTTAATAAGTGTCACTTGCACTAATAATTTAATCTATACAAAAGATACAAAAACAAAACAGTTATTTAAGATTTATTCCCCTTTATAAACACCTTAAAATTACCTTTATAAACACATTAAAATTGTTTCACGTTTCATTTATAAATTATTATTTATTTTGAATTATATATTTTAAAACTGATTTTTTTAAATATACAACTCTTTTTTTATTTTCAAAGTAAACTATGCATTTTTAATTCCTTGTTACAGTTATTCCACAATTTCACCACTTTGATAGATATAATTTTTTTTTTTTTATATTCTTCCTCAAGTTGCCCTTATTTTTTTAAACATCCATTTCCCAAATATTTTACTCTCATTTTAACTGCCTCTGAATATTTGGGAAATAAATGTAATTTTTTCAGCCTTTTCAATTGTGAAACCAACCAGATCACCAAATTTTAAAGCACAACAGTTTATAATTTTTAATTTAATATTTAATTTAATATTTAATTTAATTTAATTTATAATGTCTCTGTTGTAGTGATTATTCTGAGTATCGTCGAGGCCATTCTGCTGCTGGCGTTGATCTTCCTGAGGACTCGTATTCTCATCGCCATTGCTCTTATTCAGGAGACCAGCAAGTAAATAAACACACACATTGGTTTTACTTTATTAGTGAGGACGTCTCATAGACATCTCATAGTAGTTTTAGCCAAAACTTGCCCAGAAACACACACACAAACACCTTAGTGCTCATGCATTGCTCACACATGTGAAATATTCTCATAGCAGAATCTAAAACTGATCACATGAATCATATGATCATGTTAATGTTTGAATTGAAATGAAGAAGTAGAGATCTCTGTTTATATGAGTTTGACTTGACGAGTGAGTAAAAATGTGTGTGTGTGTTTTCAGGGCGTTGGGTCACATGATGTCGACACTTTTCTATCCCATCGTCACGTTTGTGCTGCTGTTGGTGTGTGTGTCGTACTGGGGAATCACAGCGCTGTATCCTTCACACACAAGTGTAAACTGATCTAGATCAAAGCATCTAACAAATTAATAAATGTAAACAGCCAAATAAACTTTTAGATGTTTATTTTGTTATAAATACCATTAGATCTACTTCAAATAAATGCATCACCAATTATCTCAGTGATTTTGTAGCACTGAGATATGTTTTATAGTTCTGAATGAGTTTTTATTTTTATATTTTCTGTTTTCGTTTTAATTAAAGTTTAGTAATTGTGTTGTGTTTTTATCACTGTGTGTATGGGTAGTCATCATGTTTGCATGATTCATATGTTGTGAATCTTTAACTGAGCGTGTGTTCAGATATCTGGCCACATCAGGCGCTCCTATCTACAAGGTCGTGGCGATGAACACAACACAGGGCGACTGCAGCGTCATACGAGCCAACGAGACCTGCGACCCGGAGGTCAGAAACGCACACACACACGCTGAAAAACAGTAATATTGTGAAATATTATTATTATTATTATTATTATTTCTATTTTAATCTATTTTAAAATGTAATTTATTCCTGTGATGCACAGCTGTATTTTCAGCATCATTACTACAGTCTTCAGTGTCACATGATCTTCAGAAATTATTCTAATATGCTGATTTGCTGCTCAAGAAACATTTCTGATTATTAGCAATGCTAAAAACAGTTGTGCTGCTACAGATTTTTTCATTTCTCGTTCAAAGTTCAAGTTCAAAAGAACAGCATTTATTTTAAATGGAAATTGTTTGTAACATTATAAATGATTTCATTGTCACTTCTGATACATTTAATGCATCCTTGATGGATAAAAGTATTAATTTCTTTCCAAAAAATAAAAAATCTTACTGATCCAGACTTTTGAATGGTTGTGTAACTCATAAAATTCCTTAGGAGTAAAAATAAATAAATAAATGAGAAATAAAATGATGCAGATGGAAAACAGATTCAAAAATCAAACGTGATTGTTGCATTATATCCTTCTGTATTTTATTCAAATGTTTTACATTGTTTTTAAATAATAACATAAAATGTTATTATTTTGTGACATTTACATTTAAAAAAAATCAAATTCACTTATATTGTTTTCTACATTTCTACAAAAATAAAACAAAATTATAAATAAGAACTGAAAATATGCTTCAATGGCATGTTTTTTCCTATCTTTTCGCTTTTCTTGTAATATGGCCAAATCAAAGGTCATCATAGACCAACTTTAGCCCTGGTTTGGGCATCTCTGGTTTAAGTTCACATTGAGACATTGAGATCTCCTGTGGAACTCTAGAGAAGAGAAACACTCATCTGAGAAGCAGGAGACTTCAGTCTTCATTTAATCTTGTTTATGAGGAATCGTTGAGATCTGAGCGAGATCTCATGTGTCTCTGTTTTTCTCCACAGATGTTCAACACTACGCAGTATCCCACGTGTCCATCGGCGCGCTGTGTCTTCATTAACTATAACACGGAGGGTTTGTTCCAGAAGAACCTCTTTAACCTGCAGATCTATAACGTGATTGCGTTCCTGTGGTGTGTGAACTTCGTCATCGCTCTGGGTCACTGTACGCTTGCCGGCGCCTTCGCTTCATATTACTGGGCCTTCAGCAAACCGGCAGATATCCCAACATTCCCTCTGATCCAGTCCTTCATGAGAGCGCTGCGGTAAGACCCATGAAACACCAGGCCAAACAGATCCGCAGGAAAAGTGTAGAGTATTGGTGGAAAATACACCGGTTCAATTCCAGCCATATGAAAGAGTCCGTCAGAGCTGATCCAGTATGGGGGTAGAATTGTTGCTTTATTCCAAATAAATAGATTATGATCCACAAATAAATGTAAAGAGATTAACAAAAATTAAACAAATTGACGAATAAATAGAATTAGATCCACAAATAAATAAAATGAGATTTGCAAATAAAAAACATGTTCACAAATATCTTTTTAAGTCTTTTTAAGTGGATTTTGAAACATTTCTAGCATCGAGACACACACCAATCCACAAATGCGTGGACTCCACCCACCGTCTACTCAAGCCAATCAGATAACAGCCTCACTTCGCTGACCAATCGTAGCACGTTCTCGCTATAGCCAATCACGTTTTACTTTACAATCAGGGAGGTCTCGTCCTGAAATAACTTAATGATAATAATAAACATGATATTAAATAGATATTTTATTCATTGTTATAATAAAAATTTAAAATAATGACTTAAGATTGATAAAATATGTATTCATATTTATTCATCAGGATTTAACCTGCCTATGATGAAGGTAATAGTAATAATATTAATAGTAATAATGCCATGTAATATAATTTAATGTATTGTTTGTTATAAAAATTCAATACAAGGACTCAAGGGTCTTAAAATTAGTTTATTGTCATCCTTTTTTTTATCCATTTTTTAAAATCAATTTAACCTGGAGATAATAATAATAATAATAATAATAATAATGCCATTTAATATAATCTTATATATTGTTATAAAAAGTTAATACATTGACTTAAGAGTCCTAAAATATGAATCAAATATTTGTTCATATGACTAAAATATTACCATATTTTGGTTTGTGGTTGTTAGCCTGTGATATTATTGGTTAATATTATTTTTATTAAATCTTTATGATGTAAGTATAAAAGAAAATACATTTCAAAAGTGATGATGAGTTTATAATAGAAAAGCATCAAATAAAAAGTGCACTGGTGCACTGATCACAGTAAGAGCATAAATGTTTTTTAAAGGAGTTCTATTATGCTTTTTCACTTTTTCAACTTTAATTAGTCCATTAGTTAGTTAGTTAATGTTGTTAGTCTGTTAGTTAGTCAGAGGCTCAGAACCCATGCACGCGCTTCATCATGTGTTGCCTCAAATGCTGCTTCTGGTGTCTGGAGAAATTCATCAAGTTCATCAACAGGAACGCTTACATCATGGTACATAAACTCTCTGACACATACTGTACACATAAAGTCATCAGCTCAATGAATAAATGTCAGCATTTCTCTGGTTTGTAGATCGCCATATACGGGAAGAATTTCTGTGTGTCCGCTATGAATGCTTTCTCTCTGCTCATGAGGAACATTATAAGGTGAGACGACAGTCTGGAATCATCAGTGTGTTTATTTCTCATCAATTATTATCAGTTGTGGATTGATTGAAGTATCCGCATGTGCTCTAAAGAATCTAGAAATCAAAACACTGATCTGAAAAACCTATCAATCATATAAAAACATCAAGAACTAACCAGACGCATTGCAATAAGATTCCAGCGACAAGCAATTTATATGTACAATCCAGAAACGACCAATCAGTCAGAAATCACAGCCAATCAGAAGAGCAGGTGGGCGGAGTCGCTCTAAAGAATCTAGAAATCAAAACACTGATCTGAAAAACCTATCAATCATATAAAAACATCAAGAACTAACCAGACGCATTGCAATAAGATTCCAGCGACAAGCAATTTATATGTACAATCCAGAAACGACCAATCAGTCAGAAATCACAGCCAATCAGAAGAGCAGGTGGGCGGAGTCTCTCTCTCTCTCTCTCTGCAAGTGCACTATTGCAACAAAACAGATCAAGTAAATAATATAAAACCATCTTAACATTATTAAAAATACATACTGAGTGATTGATACAATCTATGTCATAAAATAGACTTTGCATTCAGTTTTTTCATTCTTGTTTTCATTTATTTTCAAGATCTGAGGTAAATTATCCAGCGTCGTCTTCAGTGTGGCTATAAAGGTCAAGCAGAATGATATTCAAATTCACATTAGATACTTTTAACATTAAATAAATAGCATAATCAGCACCTGAGACGATCAATGTCATGTATGTTGTTCCATCTGAAACGTCACAGAAATAGAAACGGTTATATGTATCGCTGTCACGGCTATATAAAAAATATTTTTATCTCACAATTCGGACTTTTTTCCTCAGAATTGAGTTTATATATGACAATTGCAAGTTGAAAACTTATCTCACATCTCCAAATTCTGTTATTGTTGTTATTATTATTATCCCGCCATGGAATAAAACACTGAATTCAGAATTGTTTCCACACAATTGAGAGTTAACATCTCACAATTTTGTTTTCACAAGTGCACTTGACTTTTTCAAGCTTATATCTTCTCGCAATCGCAAGTTATAAACTCGTATAGTTTACAAAATAATTTCGTTTGTATGCAAAACTATTTTTTTTTTTTAGGTGAAATTGAACGCTTTCAAAAAGTTCAAACAACATATAAATTTAATAAAATATTTTATGTGAAAAATTTTGTATTTATTATTTTAAAAAATGAATTTATTTTGATTTTGAGGTGAAATTAGTGTTTTTATGAAGATCAATCAGAATCTAAACTTAATGCAAATTTTTATGTGAAACGTTTTTAATTTAAATTTTTTTTTAATGTGTATTTATTAATCTGATTTTGTGATGAATGGGTGTTTTCATGAAGTTCAAACAAAATCTAAATGGAAACTTCTTCCTTAAAATCCTTTCACCTATTTTTATTATTTAACAAATTTCGTGTACTTTCATTTAGTCATTACGAGGGGAAAAAAAAATCTGAATTGTGAGATAAAGGTCACAATTAGGGGAAAAAGGAAACAAGCTTGGTCAAAAGATGGAAAAGATGTTTTTGATTGTGTGTTGTCTGGTTTGGAACAGTGTTATGAAGCTACAAAGAAGAGCAACTCAAGAACCCAAGACAGGACAATGCTTCCTCATGAGGAGATGTGTTGGTTGTTAAGAAGGTATTGTGTTGTTGTTGTCAGGGTGGTGGTGCTGGATAAAGTGACGGATCTGCTGCTGTTCTTCGGGAAGCTGCTGGTGGTCGGTGGAGTTGGTGAGAGATGTTGAGTTTAGACAGACCTCAGATCTCTGGAGCTTCATGTGTGAGCTGAAGCTGATGACGTCTGGTCTGTTTTCAGGTGTGCTGGCCTTCTTCTTCTTCTCCGGCAGGATTCAGACTCCAGGAACCACGTTTGAAACGGCGGCGCTCAACTACTACTGGATGCCCATCATAGTGAGACTCACGTTCACACCTCACATTACTGATTTACATTTGATCAAATGTTCGGCAATTCGAACTGAAATTATGATGTCATTTTTGCATACTGAATTCTGATTGGTCTTTTCTTACATGTATTTAACTGTATGTCACATACAGCGATCAAGTGTTCAGCATTGCATTAACACACAGAAAGTGAATTTTTAACAAACCTGTCAACCATTTCACCCCAAAAATCAAAAATCAACAAGAAACTATATTTTGCATACTGGACCTTATAAGATATATATACTGTATATATATATTTAAAAAAAATTTTTTTTTTTTTATTGCATTGTAACATTATGATAGTTACCTCTGTTTTTTTTTTTTTTTTTTCAAAATATCAACAAAAATGGTTTTCAACATGGTGTTATTTGATGTAATGCATTTAATTTAAAACACTTTGCATTACAGTAAATATGTTTTAATGCAAAATTTAATGCAAAATATATGTTTTTATATTATAATTTAATTTGTTATGAGGTTTCATTGTTCAGTCAACATCTAAATATACCTTAATCTCTTTCCTTAAAAGTCCTTAAAAGTAAACCATCTGGATGCAAAATAGAAATAATTTCTATGCTAAATATATATTTTATTATTTTATTCATATATTTGCATTACAGTAAATATGTTTAATGCAAATTTAAATGCCAAATATTTTAATTTAATTAATTAATTTAATTTTGAGGTGAAATTGAGGTTTTCATGGTTCAACCAAAATCTAAACATGCCTCAAAGTCTTTTCTTAAAAGATCTTAAAAAAATAAAACATATGGATGATCTGATATAGACTTAATAAAATAAATATTGCATCAAAATTATTTTACTTATATATTTGCATTACAGTAAATATTTAATGCAAATGAAAAATATTCATAATATATTTTTTTTATTAATTTTTAAAAATTATTTATTTAATTTTGAGGTGAAATTGTGGTTTTCATGGTTCAATCAAAATCTAAATATGCCTCAAACTCTTTACTTAAAAGTAAAATATCTGGATTCAAAATAGACTTTTTGCATATTTTACACATTACAGTAAATATTTTTCATGCCATTTTTTATGGAAATATATATATTTCTATTGTATTATTTTTTTATTTGGAGTTCAGTTTTCAAGTTCAGTCAAAATCTAAATATGCCTCAAACTCTTTACTTAAAAGTAAAATATCTGGATTCAAAATAGACTTTTTGCATATTTTACACATTACAGTAAATATTTTTCATGCCATTTTTTATGGAAATATATATATTTCTATTGTATTATTTTTTTATTTGGAGTTCAGTTTTCAAGTTCAGTCAAAATCTAAATATACAATAAAATGTTCCCTTAAAACTCCTTTCACTTCTGTTCCCTGTATTTTGTTTAAATGAGTTAATATACTTTCATTCCGTAATTAGCTATACAGTTGCATAGATTTTGGTTTCATGCAAGAAATGAGATGTAAAGTTGAATCAGGTCGTGGCAAATAAACATGTTTAGTTTTGTAAAGTGTGTGTGTGTGTGTGTGTGACAGACGGTGGTGTTCGGTGCGTATCTGATCGCTCACGGCTTCTTCAGTGTGTATAACATGGGTGTGGACACACTCTTCCTGTGTTTCTGTGAGTATCACACACCACGGATATAATGCTATATAACATATATAATGTTTGAGGTGTTTTATGTGTCTCACCGTGCGTTACATCATGCAGTGGAGGATCTGGAGCGTAATGATGGCAGTCCACAGAAACCCTACTTCATGTCCAAGAACCTGATGAAGATCCTCAACAAGAAGAACAAACCGGCCAAGACGGGCTGATGAAGATGATAATGATGAAGATGACGAGGGTTTCTGACTTCATACTCTCAAGCACTGTCACTTTCAATCGAAGTGAATCCATGTACAGACCCTTTTAAACATCGATACTGAGATTCAATTTTTCAACAGAAACCAGTTAATGTAACTCATTAATCAAAACCACCAAAGGTTAAGGACCACATCCTTACCCTGGAACTGTTTTACTGAAAATGTGCCAGTGCATTTTTTTGGTTTTATTCAAGGCAAATGCAAGAAACTTGGATGAAGATGTCTGTGAGCCAAAGCATTTATTATTAGCCATTATTATCTTTACATATTAATATATTCAGTTTCTGATTTTAATATAAGATGTGCACAGTGAAGCTATATCGCACATACAATTGACTGCTTTTGATGCAGATTAATAACTAACGTTCTGTTCTTCCAAAACTGCTGAACATTTTTTTTCCACTTTGTAATAGAGAATAAAATACAATAAATGACAGAATATCTGACACTCCATAAGCATGAATGAAAGCCTTACTTTTGAATGTTTTTATGGTTGCAGTAGTGCACGCTGCTTTCACATGTAAACACTGTTTTTATATGATTTGTATTTGGTTCTGTGTGATTTAATGTAAACTGGAACTAAACAGAGAATATTTATTTAAAGATATATACATTTAAAAATGTTGCATATTATTGAGTGCTTATTTTCAGTACATTCACAATCCTAAAACTGATGGACAATAAAAGCTGAATTTATAGACTAAACTAAAGCAAGGCATCATACAACCAAGGCCGCGCCGTTCTCAAGCCCGCCGGCCGTTCCTCACTCTAGCCGCCGGCCTCCGCATACTCTAGGCCTCCGCTCACTCAAGGCCGTGGTGTGTGACGCTGTGTTTCGTTGTGAAAGCGAAACTACTTTGTTTGGCCTTCCAAGAGGACACGACTAGAAATCAGTGGTTAAGTTGTATTTACAACACTGTTCCAGAACACTTCAACCCAAATATTCAGATGTGTGCAGCACATTTTATGGAGGACTGTATCCTGATCCTGGGAGAGTAGACTACAATGCTGGCTGTTCTGACTCACAAACTGTAAGTACGTGTTTTATATTCTCACACTTGAGGTATTCAGCCAATCACAACGCACTGGATAGCTGGCCAATCAGAGCACACCTCGCTTTTCAGACCGATGTGCTTTGTAAAAATCGACGAGTTTCAGAAAGGCGGGGCATAGAGGAGAAATAATAATGTACAGTATGTGGAAAATAATGTTTTTTTAACTTTAAACCGCATAAACATTTCATTACACCAAATACACGAAATAATGTTATTTTTAGCAGCATCATATGGCCCCTTTAAACATTTTAGTAACTGAAAATAGCAAATCAAATAAAACTGAAACAACGAATTTCTGGAGTAAAATGACTGAAAATGATACTTACCTCAAACTTTTTCTTAAAACTTACCCTTCAGGAAATGCAAATGTACTTTATTTTTTAAGTTAGTTCATGTACTTCTATTGCAGTGGCAAATGAAAAGAAAAAAGAAAAAAAATGCAAATGATGGAAACTTTAAATGGAAAGTCAAATGAAAACTAAAAAGACAAAAACTAATATTATAACCAGGTCTGTCAATGACATCATTAAATCAAATAAAATGGTGTTTAACATTTTTATTTAGTAGTTTTATTTCGAAACAAAGACAACACTGTTAAATGTATTATTTTATTATACATTTATTGTATAATAAAATAAAATGCCTTAAAAATGCATTATATAGTGTGCTTTTGTCCTGAATGCTTCCTTCAACTCCAGACCAGCAGAACCGGTTTCAGTGGTCATTAAAGTCACCCAAGTGTTAAAACTGGTTCTTAATCGCTCAAGGCTGCAGTTATAATATAACTTACACTTATAAAGGCAGATATATCACACGACGTGATTCTGACTTTGGCTTCGGTACAATAGATCTGGTGTATCATGATATGATATTAGTATTATTTTGAGCAAATTACACAAAACAGTGCAATGTCTCAAACTATTTTACTATAATTTCATACAAATAAAAACATCCCACCGATTGTATTAAATGTTTATTTCTCAAGTGCCAGAGAACAGGCCACACCCACTTTAGTTTCTGCCCCATATGCACAATAATTATATGCAATTTAGCTACCAAAAGACTTTTTATGGCAAAAAGACTTGTTACAAACGTAATTAGCCAGCCATATGTAAAAAGGAAAAAGACAAACAAGAGCAATTAAAACTAAAGTCACCCAAAATCATCCAGAATCAACGGATTCTGAGCATAAACCCCGCCCACTTTATGCCCAGCAGATATCAATCAATACAACCAGCGCTGTGACATTTAACAAGTGGGCGTGGTCACAGGAGGTCCAAACCGGCCAATCACTTTGCAGAGAGAGGAAGTCAACAGAAATGTTCTTGTTCACAGGATGTTTGTTACATTTACAAACAGTTAAAACTGACAGCATTACAAATCATCACCTCCCAGCAGTCAAACAAACGTCACAGCCAATGACAGAGAGATGCTTAAAAACATCAATATCCATATATACACACATAATATACACAGCCACAGCTCACGCTCCCAACACTCACTCCTGTGAGAACTCTGAAGGGTGCATGAAAATTAAACTCACTTTTTGTAAAATTGTTCTAAGCTTCCTATCTATAATCTTTCATACATGACAATAGTATATTTCCTGACTGTATTATGAATTTCCCCCCTACTATTTTCACTCGTTAACGATGTGTGTGAACTCAGAATCGGGTGATTAATACAGTTGTGACGTATGGTGTGAGTCTGCTTTACACAACAAACACACAGCAGATAAAACTGTTGTGGAAACACTTCCTGAACAGACCTGAAGCTCATCCTGATCTGAACGTCTGATCACCATTAGCTTATGACTAGCGTGCGTCTTTGGGATGTTTCTTTAAATGAAATCTCACAGAAAACATTGAAAATAAAGGGTGGATCTCACAAAAGCATATTCAGCTCATATTTCACTCCAAACTTAAAAACTAAATAAAAATTCATTATAATATTTTCGGACAATTAACATTTAAATCTTACATTCTTATTTCTGTCATTTCTGAATGTCGCATTTGTTTTATATATGAAATAACATTCATATATATATATATACATATATATATATATATATATATATGAAAGGAAGCCCATTTTCTGACCTTTTTAAGTTTTTAAAACATTTTTTAATAACATCATCATTAACAACTCTCATTGCTTAAAAAAAATAAAAAATTTAATTAAAATTTTATATATATATATATATATACACACACACACACACACACACATTTTAGCATCATAGCAATGCGATATATACATATGCATCATAATAATGATGTTTTTAGTCTTAGTAATGGGTTTTACATATACATATATATATATATATGATTATTTTTGCATCAGTGTGCTTGGATGCAATTGGGCTTAAAAATAAAAAAGGTCATTAAATAAGCTTTTTTTTTTTTTTTCTTTTGGGATGAAATGTCCAGGTCATAAAGGCCTCATGAGATTCACCCTTTTATTACAGAAGTCTGATACTGACTTGTGTTTTCGTTCATCGGTCAGATTTAAGAATCTCTATAAGTGAAACGTCCGTCCAAACACAGTGACACGGCCTCCAACCGCTCTCATGACTACTGAAATAAATCCTACATTCATCATGCCTGCCATCATTTTTTTCATTACAGATTTTTTTTTGCCATTTTTACCTTTTATGATGATAGGACAGTGTAGAGCAGACAAAAAGTGAAGTGAGAGAGAAAGAGGGGGGCAGGATCGGGAAAGGTCCACTAACCGGATTCGAACTCGGGACGCCCGTAGCGCAACGGTGATGTATGTCAGCGCGCTGCCCACTGTAATTTCATTACAGAAATTCTTTGGCATGAAAATGAAATGCTACAGAAAGTTGTGAACATAAAATATAGCGAATCTCACGAAACCTGCGGCAAATGTATCTGGGTAATATTTCACCCCAAAAATCACAAGAAAGAAAATACTTTTTTATTAAGATTTTATCCATTGAGATATTTTTTTCCAAGACTTAACAATTAATGAAACATTTCCCTCTCCCAATTATTATTACTACTGTAACAGCAAAAATATGTATATATTATTACAGTAATAAAAGAGACTAGAACATCTCAACTTATAGAAATAAGAATTTAGGGAATAAAATGTTAATTGTTAGGAAAATAATTTCAGAATGAAGTTTTACTGAATTTTCAGCTTTAAAAAACAACAACATTTTAAGTCATTTCTGGTTTGCATTTCTTATTTCTATTAAAATGATACACTGTAAAGCTGCAGTCCGTAAGTTTTGCCTCTTTGTCGCCATCTCTGTTTGAAAACCTGCAATTGCAGCTGTGTGTGGAATTATCTAGCTTGCATGGGTTGTGCGCCGGCACGGCTCCAGCGCGGATGAATCTAATGTTCTGAAGAGTATGTGTGGCAGTCAGTCACCGCACTCACAATCACAGATTCTAGCCTACGTCTTGGAATATATGACCCAAATAAAAATGTTCACTGTATATTGCCATCTAAACAAGTAACAAGTCTGCCATGTTTGTTCTGACCAACTGAGGAAAAAAGCATTACCATAAATCTTGCTACCAGTGGTGATTAAATCTAAAGATCGATTAGCTCATATCACATCAAACCGTTCAAATTATTATTATTGTTATACTTTATTCTCAAATGATTAATGTTAACAACATAAGCATTAGTGACTATGAGTATAGTGTGTATTAGCATGTAGATTTCAATTTCTGCACAGTCTAATCTAATTGTCATACTCTTCGAATTTCATATTAAGAAATTCTTTTAACCCAAAAAGCAAATTATGCTCCCTTCGAACTGGTTTTCTTTCAAATACAAATCTTGTGTAACCCCAGGCTATCTGTAATCAGAAGCACATTTAAAACTGGAATATAATTTCATTTCATTCACATGTGTTTCATAAACACATAATCCTTTCTGGATTACAATCCGCCATCAAAATTATACATTTAATTATTCTGGCTGCTGTGAGAAAAGTCTATAAACGATCGGCCACCTGCAGGATCCTCACATGCGATAGCCTAGTAGCCGGGACAACTTCTTTATGTTTACAGACGTGATGTAATGACGCAGTGCCATGCTCGAATTTCCCGCAAAAACCCGTACCACTCAAATTAGAAAACATTATTATAAACTAACCGTTGTGAATAAAGTATGGCGATAGTTTTGAACACCGGCTGGTTATGTACTTTCTCAAATATTGATTTCGGATCATTTTTAACCAAAAAAAAGTTACGTACTGCAGCTTTAAAGTAATGAGAATTTGGGAATTAAATGGGTTTAATCATGATGAAAAAACAAACATTTTCTTTATGCACAATGTAATTTCTCATTGCATTTGTATTGATCTTGAGGTGAAATATGCCGTTTTGTGAGCTGCTTCATCAGCTCCTGTAGTGTTTGTTAATACCGTCTCTCAACATTGTGTGTGTGTGTGTGTGTGTGTGTGAGACACAGACAGCTGATCTTCTGAAAGCATGTGTTACTGTTGTTTCGATCGCAGACGGGCTGAAGCGAGAAGGCGTCACACGCTCAGCAACCAGAAGAAGAAGATGACGGC